ATTTTACTTTCTGCTTTCTGTTTGTTCCTCGTTTCTCATGTCTGTCTTGTTTTCCTGCCTTCCTGTGAACACTAGAACTTTTTTAGAATTCCATTTTGATGTATCAGTAGTATTTTTGTGTATGCTGTCTCTTTGTGTAGTTATTCTCAAGACATTTTATGTACATAACTTGCTACAGTCTAGTAGTATAGACATTTTACCAGTTCAAATGAGATACGGAAACCTTCCCCTCTTTAAATCCCTTTGCTCTCCCTGGTTTATGATGTAAGTGTCTTAGGTGTTCCTTTACATCCATTAAGAATCCCGTCAGGTAATGTTATAATTTTTGCTTCAACTATCAAACATAATTTAGAAAACTAGAAGGAAAGTGTTGTATTCACCTGTGTTTTTGCTTTTTCTGTTGTTCCTTCCAAGAGTTTTGCTGACTGCTTATTTTGAGTGTAGCTGTCTTATAACATTTCATGTTCAGATTCTCAAAGGTTATTGACTTTGAGGAAATAGGAAAAAAGTAGGCTCTTTATCTATAAATCTGAACATTGAAATGACAGTGCAAAAAAATGAGGTCATATTCTGAATTAGATACTTTTCTTGGAATTGCTAAGACCTTACCACAACTTTACATTGTGCAAGGCTGATGATTTAGAGTGATTCAGTGATAAGAGTACAAATTAGGATCTATTAATTACCTCTGCAGTTCCCCACTCTACCAGCTGAGCTATCGAAGGGTGCGTAGGATCTATTAATTGAAGGCTGAATAAGCTCAAAATTATCTTCTAGATTTACGAGTCTATAATTTATTATGTGAAATTTATAATGATCACCAACCATATTAAGTTCAAAAGATTTTAACTCAAATCCTCTGGTAACTGATAAACCTAATTCTAAAAATTCTTGACAGACATAATCTTGAAGGGTTCTTTTGCAGAATCTTTCCAGTGCTGTTATAATTGGAAAGCAGTTGCCCTCATTCTAGTCAATTCTGTGTCAAGGAGGAAAGCACTGACTCTGGGGATTTTCTTTCTTTATCAGGCGCAGGACCTAAACGTCATTGAAGAAGTGATTCGAATGATGTTAGAAATCATCAACTCCTGCCTGACAAATTCACTTCATCACAACCCAAATTTGGTGTATGCACTTCTTTACAAACGAGATCTCTTTGAGCAATTTCGAACTCATCCTTCCTTTCAGGATATAATGCAAAATATTGATCTGGTAAGTGTAAATGAAGATATTTATTATGATTCTTTAAAAAATATTAGAGTAGAGAAATTGAACAAACCTTGATAAAAACCTACAAGAGTTAGTCTCTTGAACATTAACTATATTTGCTCTCTTCTGCAATACCATTTGTCACCTTTCAAATGTGTGTTTATGTATTATATACAGATATATATATACGCACATGTGCGCGCACACATATACACACACATCAATATTTAGTAGAATTCAGGTCATACTTCATATATTTCTGTATTCTGCCAATTTTTACGTAATAATAATATTTTCTGTGATAGCAGCAGTTCTTTGAAAATCTCACATTTTAATATCTGTATAACCTATATTATGGATGTCCTAAAATGTATTTAACCCTTATTCCATTATTGCTAACTTGGTTGCTTTTAATATTGTATATTAATTCATAATTAACAGTTTAAAAATAAATCTCATCTCACATTTTTTAGTTAGATTTTTGGTATAGTCTTAAAACTGGAATTGTTCTAGTTGTTATTGTCAGGTATCTTATCTTTTCAAGACTCAACACATGCGAAATTTCATTCCAGAAATACTGTGCGATTAGAGCATCTGTGTGTCATCCTGTACTTCCACAGGTGATCTGTGAGTGTCTCACTACACTTTTTGCAGCTTTGAGTGTTATAATTATTTTTAATATTTGTCTTTTTACATCAAAAACAATATTTAATTATTGCTTTTAATTTTTGTTTCTTTCATTATTTGTGTGATTGAACATTTTTCACAGGTCTGTGAACTTTCATTTTCTGTCCTTTTTTAAAGATGTTTTTCTGCTTAATTTTCTACTGCTGTATTAGTATTAGTGTTTTCCAATTAAGTTTGATTCCACGGATATGTCTTGTATAGCTAATCAGATTCATAATGCTATGCACAAGAGGAAGCTGAAGAGCCAGCATCCCAGTTCTTATATTACTTACACTTAGGAAGATTTTCAATAATTAAATTATCACACAAGTGTAAATATATAATTTCCCTCATAAGTAAGCACATTTGCGTACCTTTCTCTAGGACGCACACCTCATGATGGATTGCTGCACGTGTGTCATACCAGACTGTTTTCCTTGGGGTGCTGCCATGTCACCCCTGCTATTGTAACTTTTGCCTTTCTCTGGACCTCTTTAATTCAGTTTCTTTCTTCATTCCTTTCTGTCTTTTTTCTCCTTTCCTCCTTTCCTTTTCTTTCCTTCCTCCCTCCTTTCTTTTGGATAGTCGCTGAACTATGCACAATATATGTCAGATAATCTATATCTGCAATATATTGGAGAGAAATGTTCTCTATTTAATTACCAATACCTCTATTCATAATAGCCAATTTTTTCTTTGTTTCTGATAAAAGACTAACCCAGAGTTTCTTTTTTTCTGTGGTCGTAAGTATAATAGGCGATAGATCATCATGTTATAACACATATTTTGGTTTCCTTAGCTTTAAATGTTTAAACTACATCAAAAACCATTTGATCTTTTTCTGTTCATTTCATCATTAGCATTGCTAGCTTTTATCAAATGCTCGCTAAGCATTTACACGTGTTATCTCTTACTCTTCATTAAGAAACAAAGCTGTGAGGTATATTTCACTTTAATTTTCAATTACAGGTAAAGAAACCAGCTTAGAAAGATTTAACATGTTCATGATCACACATTCAGACAGTGATAGAGCTAGAACTCAAACGCAGGCAGTTTGATAATAAAACTCATGCTTTAATCATGTCTAACTACTATCCCCATTCACTAAATGTCCTATAGTTTCTCATTGTTTGCCTTTTCACTACCTGAAAACAAATCCAGAAATGTCACTGTTTACTTTCTCCTTCAAGATCACTTCGAATGATGTCAGACCAACCTTTACTCCACCAATGGTGAACATGATGCTCTCTTCTTAGTAACCAGGCTGTTGACATCCTTAAAAATCTCTCTGAAGGACCATACTGTTTTTTTTAAAGGACACTTAGGAATCCTGTAAAGGATTCAAACTGCATCTGTTTGAAACTTAGTCTCCTTTAGAAGCAAAAAGCAGAATGAAGGTGAGAAAGTAGAAAGGACCTCATGCTATATCTAATACTGAGCCATGAGGAAATAAAAGCAGGGAGTTCAGCTGGATTTATAACCAGTGCTCACTTTCCTGTCTTTGTCAGGAATGTCCTGCTTCAGTGAAAAATGCATGCTCAGGGTAAGCATTTGGCTGTATGCCATTATGCAGTTCTTAAAACTAGATAAATATATTCTTAAGCATTTTTGAGTACCTACTAAGTGCTGGGAATGAGGCTAAGTACCTTTACATACATTACTCTCTTATTCTTCTTAAACCAGTAAACTCATTATTATTATCCCACTTTACAGATGAGGAAACCAGCATGCTGAGAGAAAGCTTCCCAGGTGATTTTAACACAGATCCCCCATCTAAGACTCATCCTCTTAGATAATGATCACATATTTGCATAGGGCTTTATCACTAATTTGCATGTGCACAATCTCATGTGACCCCCGTGAGGGTGGCAGAGTAGGGTTTGAGAGGTGAAATGGTTGGCTCAAGGTGACTTAGTGAGTGAGTCACCCAACCAGGCCTTGAATCCAGGTCTTCTCATTATAAACGCCATGCTTTCACATTCACTTGGATAAACCTAAGGAAGAGTCCAAATGAGCAGATTTTCCAACAACTTTTTCTTGAATACTGTCATCCAAAATAGTGTTGGACACACTGGAAATTCACTCAAAATCATTTTAAATTCTTTTTACAAATTTTGAAAAGCATGCCATGATAAAGATATAAATAACATCTCTACTTTTTGCCTCTTTCAGCACTTTACCTTCCCCTCTTGTCTCGTCTCCCCACCCCCAATGCTCTTGCGAGCATTGGCTTTAGCAAGCTCTTTCTATTTCTTTCATGGAGTTAACCTTGAGAAGTGTTGGTAGAGGAGACTATGAATCCACTGTTATTTTTAGCTGACAGGGAGTTGAGAGTTGATATTTTTCATTGAGACATTAAGCAATGTTGAATGTCTGAGACAAGAGTGACTAACCTTGGAGTACTTTTAGCTTCTGCAGGAGGATTTAGACATGTGCTTTTCAAATAGCCAAATTTCTGTTAGCCACTGATACATATCCCTCCTGTCTAACTAATAAGATGATATGATCTAGCTGAATTAAGCAACAGAACAAAATAGAAATACCACACCAAATGAGAAGGGGCATGAAAGAAATCTCATGGCTGAATATAAGTGGAGAACAGAGACAGTGAACAATAATAGTTGTGTAGTGTGGTAAAGGCAGAAACTATTTTTATCTTTGGACAGTGTAAAATTTACATTAGGTTTTCTGTATTTCCAGACCTGACCATCCTTATTGAGCTCCAAATTAGTGTATTCAGTTGCCTATATGGCAGTACCACAAATGCTGAACAAGGTTAAATCAGAATTCTTTATTTTCTTCAAAAAAAATCAAACAAAAAGTGAATCAGCTTTTTCTTCTGCAGTCTTCCTTAGCTCAGTAAGTGACATCAATATCTACCTAGTTGCTTAAGCCAAAGAAGAAAGAGGAATGATGAGTGCTGTGTGCAACAGGGTTGGGAAATTGCAAATCGAAAGAGCACAGTCAGAGAAGACTTCTCTGGGAAGGTGCATTTGAGCTAAAACTTGAACGAGGTAGAGAATGAATCATGCAGATATCTGGAATCAGATGAGGTAGAATGGAGACGTGTCTGTGTCTCCCTTTGGTGCAAAAGGTAGGCATGCTTACTGACCATTATAAGAGATTTGGGTTCCCTAAGCTCAGAGTTCTGTTCCTATAGTATAACACACTGCATTTGTAGGAGTTATCTGTCCCTGTTCAGATCACCTTGTGCAGTCCACTCACATCAATGGACAGATCATCTAGACAGAAAATCAGTAAGGAAACACTGGCCTTAAATGGCACATTAGACTAAATGGACTTAATAGATATGTATAGAACATTCCATCCAAAAGCAGCAGAATAGGCATACTTTTCAAGTGTGCATTGAACATTCTCCATGATAGATCACATGCCAGGCCACAAAACAAGTCTCAGTAAATTTAAGAAAATTGAAACCATATCCAGCATCTTTTCCAAACACAATGCTGTGAGACTAAATATCAACTACAAGGGGGAAAAGACAGCAAAAAACACGAACATGTGGAGGCTAAATGATATGCTACTAAAAAACCAAAGGATGACTGAAGAAATCAAAGAGGAAGTTTTTAAAAATTGTCCTGGAGACAAATGAAAAGGAAATACAGTGATCCAAAATCTGTGGGATGCATCAAAAGTAATTCTAAGAGGGAAGTTTATAGCAGTACAAGCCTCCTGCGGGAAACTAGAAAAATCTCAAACAACCTAGCCTTACACCTGGAAGAACTAGAGAATGAAGAAAAAAACAAAACCCAAAGTTAGTAGAAGGAAAGAAATCACAAAGATCAGAGCAGAAATAAATGAAATACATACTGAAAAAATAGAAGATTAATGAAACTAAGAACTGATCCTATGAAAACATAAGCAAAATTGATAAACCTTTTTCCAGGCTCATCAAGAAAAGAAGAGAGAAGACTCAAATCAATAAACTCAGAAATAAAAAGGGAGAAGTTACAACCAATAACTTCACAGATACACAGAGGTTCATAAGAGATAATGACAAATAACTATATGCCAATAAAATGGACAACCTAGAAAAAAATGGACAAATTATTAGAAATGTACACTCTCCCAAGACTGAACCAGGAAGAAACAGAAAATATAAACAGATCAGTTACTAGTAATGAAATTGAATCAATGATTTTAAAACTCCTAACAAACAAAAATCCAGGATCAGATGGCTTCACAGGTGAATTCTATCAAATATTTAGAGAAGAGTTAACACCTTTCCCTCTCAAACTATTTCCAAAAAATTGCAGAGGAAGGAATGGTTCTGAACTCATTCTGTGAGGCAGCATCACCCTGATACCAAAACCAGA